CTAGAATAGTGCTCGGCCTGTGCTAAGCGCCTGATGGCTCTCTGCTGAATGGATGCATGCTGCTGAAAGATCTGAATATAGAAGTACCTGAAATCTACTTCTCCTTGGAGTTCTCCCTGTAGTACCCCTGCTCCCACCGGGTACTGAGGGCCAGGGTGGGCCTGCTAGATCTCTCTACCATTTCTCCAGATGGCTCCATTTCCGAAGTCACGCAGAATCCACTCCTTCTTTGAGGATGATGAGGCTCACCTACAGTACCTTCTACCCTCTCTCACTGTCTTTCTCACTACCAATCTCCTGTTCATTCTCCAATATTCATTAAGAAATCCAGCTCCCAACCCAGTCTTCTGGTCCACACCTATCTCCTATCATCTCCTCGGAGAATGAAGATGACCCATCCAGTTACTCTCATCCCTCATCTTCCCTGACTTCAATAACCACCATCTCCACTCCAGGATTCTACTCCTACAACTGCACCCTTGGTACTGGTAGCACTGCATTAAGAATATTAATAATTGCTAATATTTGAGGGCTTATTATGTGCCAGACAATATGTTCAGTGCCACACATGCTTTATCTCATTTAAACTTTCCAACAACCCCATAATGACATTAAGGTACAGAGGTTTAAATAAATTTTTAAACATCACTCAGCTCAGCAGTGGTGGACCTAGGTCTGTCAGACTCTTTAGCCCATGCTCTGAACCATACCACTGGGATGAAAAGAATCAAGATTTAAACCCCAGCTCTGCCACTCTGTCACACAGACTTCCTGACCTTGACCAAAATAAAAACCTCTCTAAGCCTCAGTTTTCTGATTCATGAAATACTGGTAGGAATAAAGAAGATAATATATTAAGTGCCTAGCACAGTGCCTGACATACCACAAGTATGTGTTCCATCCATCCTACCAGCAAACGCTTACTGAGCACCTCCTAAGCACCCAATCCTGTGGTAGGTACCGAAGACACAGCAGTGAATAAGACAACAAGGTCCCTGCCTTCACAAGTCTGCACAGCACCTATGGGCACTCAATACGTGACAGATGGAACAAGCCCTCAGGAGGTCTGCCAGTCTCCACTCTGCCTCTCCTCAATCAGCCAGTTACTCTGCTATAAAGCCACCTAATGAGCGCCCTTCCTTGCCTATAATTCTTCAGGAATTCCTCACTGTCAAAGAGATAAATTCAAATTTCTTAACACAATATGCAAGAACAGTTGTAGGTAAATGACTCACTTCCCTTCCCCACCTTATGCCCTCTTCTTTAAGCAGTGAAACTTTCCTCATGTAATCTATCTGGAAGACTGAATTGAAAACCAGATAATGTAGACCTATTCTGGAAATGGCATGAGAACTGGAGTCACCAGTTTGGCATCCTAACCCCTCCCCACCCTCATCACACACGCACACGCGCGCGCACACACACACACACACACAGCTGCAGCTACTAAGGCAATGACAGGTTCTGTCAAACAGTTTGAAAACCAAGCTTTAGATCAATGTTTTTCTAACTGTAGGACACAACCCATTTAGTGGATTATGAAATCAATTTAGTGGTTGTAATCAGTGATTTGGAAAACAAAAATAAGAGGGCATTATATGAACTAATGTCTAAGTATTGGCATATAGAACCTGTTATATACGCACACACACTCAGGTACTGAGCTGTGATATAAATTGTATTTCTTACCATGGATCATTGTCAAAATGGTTTGAAAGCCATTGCTTTACATGCTCTACGTAGCTCAGTTCCTTGCATGTTTCCTCAGTCACATAGAACTCCATCTGTATCACGCCACCTGCAGTTCTCCAAACCCATCCTGCTCTTTCACTTCTATGCTGCAAGTCTACAAGCCAGGCGTGGTGCTCGGCACTAGGAATGCAGTAGTGAGGAAAACCAAGGTCTTGCCCACATTACACTTAAGAATCTAGACAGACAAATAGCATACTAATCACACTAATTAATATACAACTGTGAACCAAAATAAGCAGTCTAAATGAAAGGGATTTCCAAGAATGTTTATCAAAGGCAATTAGACTAGGGGGACAAAGGAGGCATCTCTGAAGAAGAAGCAATTAGCAGAGATCTAAATATGTCCAAGCTAACTGGGTAAACAGGGTGGAGGCAGAGCATTCCAGACACAACAGAATATAAGTGCCCTGGCATGAGAGAGGGCAGGGCATCTCCGAGACACTCAAAAAAAGGCCAGTGTGCCGATCCAGAGAACCAGTGGGAGAGTGACACCAGACAGGGCTGGGAAGGTGGCGGTGGCTAGACCAGGTAGGGTTTTATGGGCTAGGTTTTGTTTTCTGTCCTCAGAGTAATGGGGCCACTGTAGGTTTTAAACAGATGATGAAACAAGAGTTGTGAAGAAACTATGTCTGCAGTATGGATGGACTGGAAGGAGGAAGGAGTGACTGCAGGGAGACCAGTTAGGAGGCCAGTGCAACAGTCCAGGTGAGTGGTGACAGTGAACTGACTTAACATATTGGAAATTAGGAGGAAGGGGAGAGAGGGTGGTGGTAGCAAAACAGAGGCTAACCCCCAGGTTTGGCTTGCACAACCGGATAGATGGTGCTGCCAGCTGAGACAGTACACTGGAAGAGACCAGGCTTGGAGAAGACTGCGTTCACTCTTGGATAAGCGGCATTTAAGGTGACTTTGAGTTGGATATGTATCCTGGCTAAATCAACCTGGAAGTCACAGGTATATATGTGGTAAATGCAAATGGGCATACGAGAGTGAGGAAAACGTCTGGGGTTGGGCCCTGAAGGCCTCTCCACTTCCTAATGTTGTATTCTACTTATTATAAATGTGTATGAATACACATAGTTAACTACACAATTATACCTGCTTTAAAGTTCAAATATAGAAATAGAATAAAAAGGTCAAGTCTGCTCACTCCTTGGTTAACTAATATTAACAACTTGCTATGTACCCTTATATATATATATTTTTTAATGGGATTATGTTATACTTTTCTACAATCTGCTTTTTAAAATCAGCAATGCAGTGACAATATTCTTCTCTATCACGGTATAGATAGTTCTATCATACTCATTTGAATGGCAACACAATATTACACGGTAGGACTGCAGCACAGTTTAACCAATCCTCCAGTCCCCATTGATGGATAGTTGGGTTATCTGGCAGACAGTCACCTACCCATTCAATATCCACTGTCCCCATTGGCCTTGTTCACTGAACCCTGACTCTGTTCCAACAGCAACATGTTCAGCCCCCGGTGATGGTTCCTGACTGGCTTACGCCAACTGAGACCATTCTGTGGCCCACCTTTTCCACTTCCCTTGCAGCAGCTATGGAGAGTCAAGTTATCAAGTGCTGGCTAACGACCCTAAGGAGAAGTCTGCTCTGAGACCTTCTGAGTAAGCTTTTGCTTTCCTGACAAAAGAGAACTGACACGAACATTGCTCTTTCCCGTGCTCTTCCCGTTTTGGACATGAATATGATGACTGGAGTTTCAAGAGTCATTTTGCAAACAGAAGGCCATAAGCCAATAGGGCCCTGATACACACACACACACACACACACATACACTGACTCCTTTTAAAGAGTCCAAATGTATTTCAACCTTAAAGTCTGAAAAAGTAAAATGAAGTGTTTTGGATCAAAGATTCAGAGCAGAGATCTAAGTGATGCCCTACAAAAACAAGCAGCACACTTGGAACGAGATGTCGTGGAAAACACTTTCGGCTGTTCCTGAGGGCACCCTTAGGTGTGGGGTCCAGAAATGCCTCTCTGGCTCCCTGCCAAGCACAGCCCTCTGTCCTGCAACTTGACAGGATGGCCTTTCTACACAGTCTCTGACATGTCTTGCTTTCCCTTGTTTGAGATTTCTATCTTCTTTTGCCTGCAATTTGAAAATGTGCCAAATTAAGAAATAATCTTTTATGTGAAAAGTTGGAAGGTGTTCAATTTGTGTGAGCCATTACTTTTCATAATTTACAAATAGAATAAAAACGAAACATCAGAAGTAAAAACTATTTTAAAAGCAGGAAAAAAACTCCTCTCTTTTTGAGAAAAAATGCTTCCTAGCTATTTAATTCTAGAAAACAATTTCTGTTATTTTACTCTAATGTTGATGGTTTCTTCTGTTCTCAATTTTGCCAGCTTCTCGTGTTCTCGCAAAAATATAAGATGTTAGATTTCGCAAAATTCAGCAACTTGTAGCTCCACTTAAACATTTAAAGGCTAATAAATTAATAAATTTATACTTCGTGAATAAACTGTAATTTAAATTAAACACAAAACTTTATGTGTAATCCAAATTGTACATAACTCATATCTATGCTTCTAAACAAATAGAAGCTCACATTTGTACTACTTTTATAGTTTACAAAGTGCTTTTTATATACATTCTCTCATTTTCTATTCAAGACAGACATGTGAGATATTATTCTTATTCCACAGATGGAAATAGACCCAGACGTTATTCAGTGCTTTAACCACTATACAATGTAGCCCTGAGATTTTAGATCTGCAAAGGGTTTTAATAATGCAAATATCACATATATTTCAATTTTTGTCACCATTTTCAAGTTTCCATTTTCTTAACAAAAGAAAACAATGAAAAAAGTTTTCCACAATCTAATAATAAAAATGGGAAATATTATATAGACAGTTGTATAATAACGCAATGAGTGAGATCTACTAGAAGCAAAGTCAACTTTGAAAGTACTATATTTTTATCTATATACAGGGCACCAGTATCAGAACCACATTTAGATGAGGTTTTTTTTTCTATTTTAGAGAAAATAATGCAGGACACTCCTGTTGCCTCCAAGTCTAACGTACATATACATATACATATGTGTGGTAGGGTGTGTAGGTGGCCAAGAAGGATGCAGAGAAACACTTTGTCAGATTTGGAGTTACAGAGCCTCTGATTCTCCCAGCTTAGGCCTACAGGGACTTGACAATTTGTTCGGTCATGTCTCATCTTTAGTAATAAACTTATTTTTCTTTCCACATCCCCCTTACTTCCTAAATACCCTGTACCATTCAGACTAGAAATTCCAATAGGTAGCCTTTCTTTCTGAATTATCTTCCCTACTGTATAATTTGTTTCAGAATTTTCCCTTCCTATTTCTAAATCTTGAACACATTTCTTTATAGTAGATGAGGGAGCTATAGCTTATATTCACTGCCAGAAAAGGGTCAGTTCCAGCATTAATTTCGCAGCAAAAAGCTGAGGAAAGGTGAACAGCGAGGAGAACAATGGTAAGTGGCAGAGCAGATACACCTGACCCCAAGAGCTGCACTGCACTTCTCCACTATCTGACCTCACCCTTCTGTCACTGCTCTGCCAAATTAAAGAGGAAAATTCTCGCTGGTAGTGGGTTCAAAGCAGACCAGTATATTTAAATCACTGGTTCAATTAATCACTGTTTTTGATGTAATAATGTTTTTATTGCATCTGAGGACATTTTCAATAAACACCTTGAGTTTGAGGCCTTGGCTTAGGTAATCCTTTTGCAGTAGAAATCAGATTTCTCTGGCACAACTCCATTGCCAGCAATGGGATTTATCAAAACTACAAATGCCAGCACATTGAATATTTCAATACTGTACTCAATTGCTCATATCTAAATATTTCAGCTATGAAAAAAAACAAATGTAAATGCTTAATATATAATACAAATCAACAGATTCTTCACAGAAGAAAACAATGAAAGACTAATTTTCTACAACATGTCACCTGTTCATTAGTTCTTCAATACTATTACTTAGGTTATTTCAAGAATAATAAAATTTATGCACCACTACCCATGTTTTCTCAACATTTTTTATCTAAGTTCTAAAGGGCATAAACAAAGATGACTATAGTCAGAATTATTTCTATAAACCTTTGATATTTCTTTTGTTGTGCATCTTACAATAACAAAGGTATGGAGACAAGGACAAGTGTACATTTAAGTCATTAGTGGTTACATGAATTTTGCTTCCATGGCTAGTTGCTTATACGGGTCTTGAAAATGACAAGATAAAATAATCAAGTTTCATAAGTTCATCTATGCCCTGTGAACTTGAGTCCACTCACAGCATAACCCGATTCAGTCACTATTTATTAGTTTTAAAAAATGTTTCTTAAAAGCTGCAAACCACACTGTATTACACATTTCTGAATCATGAGGGGAGAAACTGTGACACAGTTCTCTCATGCCATTGACTCTTTTGGAGGGAAAAGTTCTGCAATAAAATAAGAGTTCCCAAACTCTTTTTTTTAAAAGCTTGAATTGTGTTCTAAGACTGACCTTCATTCTATAGTCCCTTTCAGCCAAGGCACAGTCCCTGGTGCATCTTTTTGAGGTTTAGTTTCTGGGAAGTTTTCAGCAAACCTCTCTCGTGCTTTCTCCCAGTTCTTTTGGCTCTTGTTCTGGAGAAGGTGAACATCGTCAATGGAGGATGGTTTGCCCGTCCCCAAGCCTGCATGTGTTCGTCGGAGCTGAAGCTGGATCTGTTACCAGAAGTTGAGCAGAGGACTTACTGTAGAGTTTAAACACACTGAAACCTGCTGTGTCCAACGTGATACTTTTTAATTCTTTGATTTAGAAAAAGACTGATGCAAAAGAAAAACCTGTCAAATCCATCAAATACATACATGGAACTTAAACTCATTTTTCTACATTGCCTTCCCTGATTCTACAGAAAATGGAGTGCTCCTTAAATAGCAACCACCAAATTTCATTGAGATGCTATAGAATCTGTCATCCCACTCTAACCAGAAGTAAAGGCAATAGATGTATTTAAAGCTACTTTCCTAGCCTCATCTAAGTAAGTGAACAGGTAGGTTAAACGTTAAGAATCATAAAGAGAACTCGAATGTTTATTTTCATAAAAGGAGAGGAGGACTTCTCATTATTTTGAGAACCATTAAAAGCCACCAGTTACTGAGTGCCTAATATACGTCAGGCACCATGCTAGGGGCTTTATCTTCATGGCATCCCTAAAGAAACAGTTCTGGGGCCAGCACGGTGGTGTACTGGTTAAGTTCACACGCTCTGCTTCAGCGGCCCGAGGTTTGCAAGTTCGAATCCTGGGTGCGGACCTACGCACCGCTCATCACACCATGCTGTGGCAGCGTCCCACGTACAAAATAGAGGAAGATGGGCACAGATGTTAGCTCAGGGCTAATCTTCCTCAGCAGAAAGGAAGATTGGCAACGGACGTTGGCTCAGGGCCAATCTTCTTCACCAAAAAAAAAAAAAAACCAACAACAAAAAACAGTTCTTATTATTCCCCATTTTTACATATGAAAACTCAAGTCCAAACCTGCCCTAAGTCACGCAGCTAGTGAGGGAGAGAGCACATATTCTAACCTAGGTCTGACCACAAACCCCATGTTCTTCCTGTATTACCTCAATGAAAACAAGAAAATTTACATTAAACTCACACTGATCCATCTACTATTTCTTTAGGTATCAAGTAATTATCAAAACAGTTCTTTAGTCATGTTAGTAAGGTTTTTGTAAAAGATAGTCTGAATCTCCAACGAACCACAGGACTGCAGAAGTAATTATTGTTTCCCAGACATTCTCTATTGCTTGTCACATGCTGATTCTTGACCCTAAAACAGATTCTCCAGCTAATACAGAATCTGCCTGTTTGTAAAGTAACACTGTGATTGTTCCTGCAGTATCTAGTACCAGGCATAGTAAGGAAGTCATTAAAATCAAATAAAAGATGCAGCAGACCTTTGGCTCAGGAAATAACATTTACTATCCTAGCTTTGATGAAGGAAAAAACTCTAAGAGGCTACCTAAAAGAAAATAAACAATTCATATATATATATCTGGTAATTGTGAATGCCACTGAGGTAGTAATCGTGTCTGGTTTTGCTTGCTTCTATTCTCCTAGCACTCAAGGCAATGCCTGACACATGGCAGGTACCCACTATATATATCTGCTGTAAGAACAAAGAATGAAAGAATACGCAAATCTTACCGGAGTTTTCATTCCTCCACCATCCTTCCCGAGACCCTCTCCTTTTTTCCAACCCATCTTCTCCAACATCTTCCGACCTTTGTTGCTATCAGTAATTTCACTTTAAAGAAAATTCAGACGATGGTTGATTTCTAAAAGACCATTTAGGTCACATTTATAATAAATTAATGAATTAAAAATAATTAGTACAACTACTTTAGAAAATTGTTTGGCATTACCTAATAAAGTTGAAGATACACAAATTCTACTCCTACATATACTACTTAACAGAAAAGCATGTACATGGTGCACCAAAAAGACATACAAGAATGTTTTTGCAGCAAATCTAATAATAACCACAAATCGGAAACAACCCAGATGTCCATCAATGGTAAAATGGATAAACTGTGGCATATTCATAGAAAAGAATATTATAAAGCAGTAAAAATAAAATATACCTAACAAAATAATGTTGGACAAAAAGAATACAGACACAAAATAAATACTGAATTATTCCATTTATTTAAAATTCAAAAATAAGTGAAATTAATCTGTTGCTGTTGGAAGTTAGGACAGTGGTTTTACCTTTGGGGAGGAGAGAGGAGTAACTATTAAGGGCGGTGGGGGGGCAGCCCCGTGGCTTAGCGGTTAAGTGCGTGCACTCTGATATTGGCGGCCCAGGTTCAGATCCTGGGCGTGCACCGATGCACCGCTTCTCCAGCCATGCTGAGGCGGCATCCCACAAACAACAACTAGAAGGATGTGCAACTATGACATACAACTATCTACTAGGGCTTTGGGGAGAAAAAGGGGGAAAAAAGGAGGCGGACTGGCAACAGATGTTAGCTCATGGCCGGTATTCCTCAGCAAAAAGAGGAGGATTGGCATGGATGTTAGCTCAGGGCTGATCTTCCTCAAAAAAAAAAAAAAAAAAAAGAGGGAGCACTAGGAGGGTAGGTTTCCAGGGTTACTGATATTGTCTATTTCTTGACCAAGAAATGTTTTCTGTAATGTGTTAATCTTATGTATATCAGTGATACTGATACTGTTATTTGTGTACTTTTCTGTATATACGTTATACATCAATAAAAAAAGTTAAAATGAAACAAAACCTCTCATTCACTATTTGCATTTTGTTCTGTGATTTTACGTTCTGCTAATTTAAGGGTATTTTAATTTTATGTTCTATCACAGTGTATTTTCGGTGCTACAAAATACATTAAATTAGCTCTTCAACAACAATCAACCAAGCAATGTCAGACCAACGTGTTTCATTTCTTACTTATGCCTTCTAATTTACTCTAAAGCAATCTTCATATTCTCCAGCAATTACTTCAAAAATATTAAACTTCAAAAAGTATTTGACATGGGGCCAGCCCGGTGGCGCAAGCGGTTAAGTGCGCACGCTCCGCTGCGGCGGCCCGGGGTTCGCTGGTTCGGATCCCGGGCGCGCACCGACGCACTGATTGGCAAGTCATGCTGTGGCGGCGTCCCATATAAAGTGGAGGAAGATGGGCACAGACGTTAGCCCAGGGCCGTCTTCCTCAGCAAAAAAAAAAGAGGAGGATTGGCGGATGTTAGCACAGGGCTGATCTCCTCACAAAAAAAAAAAAAAAAATACAATGAAAAAAAGTATTTGACATGTTGCTTAGTATATCTAATTTATAATACTATATTTCATCAAATCTGACTCCATAAATTGTAAGATGCAACATCATTTTACGTACCAGAGAAAAAATTGCTGCCATGTGCAACTAACTGTAAAACTCTATCCATGTAGTGTATCTTAGAATCAATAAGATATGATATTTAATCAGAATTTTATAATTAGTTGTCAGTTCCATATGTAACATTTAAATTTTAACTAAACCTAGAATTTATATTGATAAAAAAAATGTAACCCCATATATGATTAAATGCAGAAATATGGTCATATTGTAGGCCTCAAAATTATACTTTTCATGTTTATCAATGCTACTTTACCAAGAAAAAAGAACTGAATCAAGAAAAATAGTATTTCAGTGTCAACAAGAACAAAAGTAGTCAGGTATTGAAATAATTACAAAAAATACCAGTCCATACCAACTTATAAGCCTAGCCTTCTCAATATCTAGTATATAAAAGTATGCTCACTCAATTGGGTGGCTAGAATGTTAGCTATGCATACATATGTGTGTTTGTATGTATATTCACATACATGCTCAGTAATTTTCTAGGGAAAATGGAATTCTAATATTAGAGGAAAATATAAATAGATTTGGTGTTTCCATCTTGTTCTGAACCATTGCTTTCAAGACTACCTAACAGAATATATAGCCCTGTAAGTCAGATTACCCTATGGATGTGATTACGGTACAAAGAATGTTTCAAACAACTAAGATTTAATACTTACGAATGAACTGATGCAGGGGCATCATCTCTTTGGAAAGTTCCTTCACTTCCAACCTGCTCCCTACGTTTTCCAGCTCTATCTTTATATTTTGGATTCTTCAATGCCTTTTCATCTTCGTAGTCTGTATTCTTTATAAACACAGAATATTCATTGAGGAAAACAAAGCTGATAAATAAAAATGTCATGTCTTTATATCTGCCTTATTTAGCAAATATGTTTCAATGTGGTCTCTATTAAACAATGAATTAAAACAAATCATGATATAAATTAGGACAATTACGTTATTGAATATGCTGTTTTTATTCTATCCCCTTTAAAATGTATTATTTCAAGTTGTACTACAACATAAATTGCATACAGAAGTTAATATAAATTGTATATAAACTGTAATATGTAATCATAAGAAGACAATATAGTGAAAATATAGTATATTTTGACTTAATGATGTGTACCCATATTCTCACATGAACTACCAGTATTCAAAGAAATATGTAGAACCCCTGGGGTTGGGAAAAAATCTATTTCTCCTTTTCTCTAAGGAACTGAACGTTCCAAAGGACCTAAAATAGTTTGATACTGTTCCTTGGAAGGGAAAAATGTAGAAAGTCCTTAAAAAATGGATAAAAAGCAAATACTCTTTTACCCTGGCACTAATAATAGCTTTCTGCTTCAATTCAGCTCCATTTATATGATTCATCAGTCCCTCAACAAATATTTACTGAGTAAAGTGGGAAGCTCCATGCTAGGTGACAGCATACAAAGACATTTATAATCCTAGAGGGCAAATACACAAAATCTTGAGCATGGTCCAGCAGACTGGTTCAACACTAAGGTGTACACGAGATGTGGCAGGAGCACAAAAGAGGCAGTCAATTCAGCATGGGGCTTCAGAGAAGGCTTCTCTTCCCGTTTGTTATTACTTGCTAATCTTTATATAAAAAGTATGACATTCATCCACAAAGATGCTAGGAACCACTGGAGCAATTCAAGGAAAGCACCACAGAAGTTTTTACTTAATTTTGCTTCTAAACAGAAAAGAAAAATATAGAACCACCAACCCTAATGGGTTTTCTCCCTAGAAGATACAAAAATTGAGTTAAAATTTTTGAGAAAACATTTTATTCTCTCTTTGTATATCTTCTATTTTCCTCCCAAATTAGGCCCTCGACATTTTTTATTATGATTTCTCTCCCTTAGTATAACAGTAACAACAAATAATACAGTTTTGCAGAATGTTATTTTGGCAGCATCTTTTCCCACATCTTCACAAAGAGTAAAAAGCACTGCACAAACATGCATAAGACCTAGATTCTACCTACACCTAGCTCTGTCATTTAGTAGCTGGGTGACCCTTAGTTTCTCAAATGTAAACTGGAAATATTAATTACCTTCCTGATTTACTTATAGGATTAAAAGGTAATATTTTTACAGCTTTATTAAGGTATAACTAACATACAATAAATTACACATAAAGTGTACAATTAGATACTTCTGAGATGTGTATACACCTATGAAACCATCACCATAATCAAGACAATAAATACATCCATCTCCCACAAAAGTATCCTCGTCCTTCTTTGGATTCCATCCCTCTAGACCCTCTCCCTGTGCATCCTTCCCTCTCCTGTATCCAGGCAACCACTGATCTTTCTGTCACGATATGTTAGTTTGTTTTCCTAGAATTTTATATAAATGAAAGTATACAGTATGTATTCTTTTTGTCTGGCTTCTTTCACTCAGCATAATTATTCTGAGATTTATCCATTTTGTAGCCGGTATCAATAGCTCATGCTTTTTTATTGCTAAATAGTATTTGATCATATAATCAAATATAGATATATACCATAGTCTGTTTATCCATTCACGATGGACAAGTGAGTTTTCTCCAGTTTCTGGCTATTAGAAAAAAAGCTGCTATGAACATTTGTTTACTAGTCTTTGTATGAATATATGCTGTCATTTCTCTTGTGTGAATACCTCAAAGGAGAATGGTGAATCATAAGGTAGGCGTACATCTAACTTTTAAAGAAACTACTAAACTATTTTCCAGAGCAATGGCACCATTTGACATTCTCACCAGCAGTGTATGCGAGTTCCAGTTCCTCCACATGCCCACCACTTGGCATGGTTACTCTTTTCAATTAGTTTTCATTTGCATTTCCCTAATGACTAATGATACTGAACATCTTTTCATGTGTTTATTTGCCATCAGTACACCTGCTTTGGTGATGTGTCTATTCAAGTCTTTTGCTCATTTTTTAACTGTTTTCTTATTGAGTTTTGAGAGTTCTTTATATATCCTAGATATAAGATATATGATTTTTATCAGGGAGATGATTTCCAAATATTTTTCACAGTCTGTGACTTATGTTTTCATTCTCTTAACAGTATCTTTGGAAGAACCAAAGTTTTGGAGAAATTGCAATTTATTAATTTGTTCTTTTATGGATTGTGCTTTTGGTGTTAGATACCTAAAAAATCTTTGCCTAATTTTTTTTGAAAGGTTTGCCTCTAGGTTTTAAATTTATACCTATGATACACTTTGAGTTCATTTTTATATATGTTACAAGGTGTGGATCAAAGTTCTTCTTTTGGTTTTTGCATATGGCTATCCAATTGTCCAGCACTATTTGCTGAAAAGACCATCCTATCTCCACCAAATTGCCTTCAAACCTTTGTTAAAAATCATACATTTACATATACAAACACACATATACATATACACATCTATCTGGGTCTATTTCTGCACTCATGATTCTGTTCCATACACCTATTTATTGATCTTTACGCCAATACTATAGTGTCTTAATTACTGTAGTTGATAATAAGTCTTGAAATCAGGCAATACTCGTCCTCCAACTATGTTCCTCACTGGTATCATTTCAATGCAAGTATTTTAAAAACAAGAAACACCTATTCAAATGCAGAGTATTATTATCATTTTTCTATGCCAACCTCAACAATTGTTGAGGTAAACAGTAAACAAGAGAAATTACATAAATCTCTAAATCATTCTAAATAGCTCTTTTTAAATATAAAATGGACTGTGCATATCTAAAGGCATTTTTACTTAAAACAACATGCACAGTTTAACACATGTAACAATATTTAACATCCTTACCTGCAAACCATATTTTACTCGTATTTTCTTTAATTCTTTTCTCCTTTCCAACTCTTTTTCCTCCTTACTTAGTGTTGGACCAACTAAAAGGAAAAAGTGAGTTTGGTTTTTAAAAAAAAAACCACTAAATTTGATAGATTTTATATAAAATTAATACTATTTAATAATAAAAAAAACTAACAATATTAGTATCCCATCTGCAGATTAACCAAAAGTTCAAATAAACATCAATAAATAAAAGGATCTTGAGTTGTGATGACGTCTTTTCAGCATTTTGGTAACTAAACCTACTTGGAAATTAACCAAAACCCAAAGATTATAGGAATGTTATAGTACAGATACCAAAAGGAACACTAAACATCTCAATTTTTCAATAAGATTATTGTAATAGAATCCCAAATGCAGAAATATTCTTAATTTACCAAAGGAACACAGGCATGTGCAAAAGAAAAATCACAGAACGGAAGATTCATGTTATCGTGTAATGTGTCATACTCATTTTCATAATCTAGTATCAGAAAACAAAAAATATACAATGACTATGTATAGTTGTATTTAGTATTTAGGGGAAAAACTGATATGTAAAAAATTAGTTCTTACTAGTTTAAAGCATCTACTCAAATTTTAAAAGCCTTAGATGAGTGGGCTTAAAGCAAGATAGCAACTCCTATGGTGTTCTTTATTATAGAAAAATATGGTATATACACAGATGACACATCAACATAAACTATAAGGAGGAAAGCAAACATCAACCAACATCTCTTAACACCTTGGCCTATTATTCTCTATGCTACTATTATATGACAGAGTTTAACCACGGATGACTTCTTCATATCAGTAAATAGATGTTAAAAGAAACCAATCTTGATTACAATTATGTCACAATTACTCTTTTGAAGGACATTTAGCCACCACTGCAGGGCTGCTTCAAAAGCCTACTAAACTGGATTAGCAAGAACAGGGTTGGCCGACCCCGTGGCTTAGCGGTTAAGTGCGTGCGCTCCGCTGCTGGCGACCCGGGTTTGGATCCCGGGCGTGCACCGACGCACCGCTTCTCCACCCGTGCTGAGGCCGCGTCCCACATACAGCAACTAGAAGGATGTGCAGCTATGACATACAACTATATACTGGGGCTTTGGGGGAAAAAAATAAATAAAATTATAAAAAAAAAAAAAAAAAGAACAGGGCTAATGACTATCTTTCCTGTTCAAAAAGTAAGCTAATGCTATAATAGCACAGCTAAATTATTGCACAGAAGAATCAACTACAATCATCATCTACTAGCCCAGGTCTCTAATTTCAAATACATGCCATTTCTTAGTCTCATTTGATAATAATCACTGAAATATAATCACTGAAATATAAATGTATCTCAATACAGTCTTTTATCAATTAGATATGAAGCTGGAAGCTAACTGATACTTTTTTAGAACACTCTAGTGAATGAAAGAGAAAAGTTTACATGCCCACATGTAACAATATGTTCCACATACCAAAAGACTCATCTTTCTTATCAAGACGAAGGTGAGCTCTAACCTGCCCTGGTTCACAGCCGTCACAGGTATCACTGCCAGGGTGGATGTGGAAGGACAACACGGTCTCTCCAATTTTCACTTCATCTCCATGCTCAAGTACATAAGGGTCACACTTAGTTTTAGGCTAAAGGGGAAAAAATTACAAAACAGAAATCCCAGAGAGTTACATATGATTATTTTACATTTACTGTAACTACTGTCTGATTATAACAAAAAAAATTTGAGATGCTTCTCAGTGAGATAGATACTTATATGCAAACACAGCCACAAACTGCCACAACCTGAGGATGATCCATAATGTTCTACCAGTGGAGAGGAAGATAGCTCAACTGAGCAACTTATAATTTTTATATTATCAAAATCCACTAATCTCCCTATCTCCATGTCCAATCCTCTCAGAGAAATACCCAACCCAAACTTCAAATAATCTATTAACCAAAACGAATAATCATCATAGTCAAAAAGGTGAAGTGTAAAGGGGATAAGTGTATCTTATTTCCCCCTTTTCCTCTTCTTGTCTCTTGATAATTGTTTTATTTCATTTCTGAATCTTGTAGACTAAGAATAAGGCCTTCCTTCTCGTCTGTATCTTTCCTTATTAAGTGCCAAGCATTTTGCTACATGTTGGGGATAGAAGAGTCAACTGTATAGACATAACCCCTGCCTTCAAGGAGTTTCCACTTTAGCAACATTTCCATTAAAACAATTTTTTAAACAACACAAAATAAGATTGCTATAAGAATATTTACTTTGAATAGCTTTAAAACGCATTTATCTCTAAAAATGAGGCACAGATACATAATTAGAAGTCAAAACTCAACAGTCAAGTATCACTTATTATATACTTTTTTCAGCCCTTTCTGGGAACTCCTTTTCACATAACACATTTGGGCTTGAACACGGATCTAAACCAAATGATACATATAATAACTATGGCCTTCAAGAATAAAAAACCTCAGTTTTTAAAAATAATGTGCAAGTAATTAATTAATACAGTCACACTCACCTGAAGAATCTGTTTTCCATTAACAATTGTGCCATTCTGACTGCCTTGATCCACAAGGACATAACTTTGTAAGTCATGGTCAAAATAAATTTCTGCATGAAACTTAAAAAAAGAAACCAAGTAATTATAAAGTAGTATACTTTTTTTAACCATAAATAACAATTTCTCTATGATAGGATGCGGTGGACTTTAGTCACTGATAAATTTTTATTATTTTTAATACCTTTTTTCCTGAATACAGAAGTATTGTAACGCTTCTGGTAGAAATATGGAGGCTACAGAAGAAAAAGTCACCTATAATTGCACCTATAACTACCATTAATAATGTAGTACCCTGCCTTTTCTACTTTTGTAAGATAGCTGAGATAATACAATATATACAATTTGAAATTATTTTTTCACCTAATATAAATATTTGTCCATATCATTAAAAATTCTCAATACCAAAAGTTATTTGCAACACTCAAGGTCAGCTTCTCAGAGAAGTTTTCCAGTACTCAGGACTAATCACTCCTCCTTGCTCCACAGCACTTTGTTAGATAAAACTCACATTATATGAAGTCACTGCATATGTGAATGTCATTGTATTGCTTATAATTATTGCTTCCGTTTACATTTTTGCTTACCACTCAGTACACAATACAGTGCCTCACATATACTGGGCATGCACTCAACGCCTGTCTGTTTAACCGGATAAAGAGCTGCAGAAGTATTTAATTTAAAGTTTCATAAACAATGCACTGCTGGTGGGATGTAAACCAGTGCAGCTACTTCAGAGGGGCCTGGCAGTTCCTCAAAAGCTTAAACAGAGAGTCACCATATGACTCAACAATTCTCCTCCTGCGTACACATCAAGAGAAATTAAAACATACATCCAAACAAAAATTTGTACACAAATTTATAGCAGCATTATTCTTAAGAGGCAAAAAGTGGAATCAATTCAAATGTCCATCAATTGATGAAAAGATAAACAAAATGGAGTATATCCATACAATGGAATATTATTTGGCAACAAAAAGAAATGAAGTACTGATATATCCCACAACATGGATAAATCCTGAAGACATGCTAAGTGAAAAACCTAGTTACAAAAGACTACACATTATATGATTCCATTTCTATGAAATGTGCAGAAGAGGCAAATCCATAGAGACAGAAAGTAGACTGCTGACTGCCTGGGGCTGTGGGGGACGGGAGGAAACGGGGAATGAATACTATTGAGTATGATGTTTCTTTTTATGGTGATGAAAATGTTCTAAAATTGTGGTGATGGTTGCACAACTCTGTGAATACACTAAAAACCTCTGAATTATGCACTTTCAGTGGGTAAATTGTATACGGCATGTGAACTATATCTCAATCAAGCTGTTCTTAAAAAACTTCATAAACTTATTATAAAATGTTTCAAAAACATAAAAGAATATATTGACTCTGTCCACCCATGATCCAGTTTTAAGAAATTTTTCCATATTTGCCTCAGATATTTGAAAGAAAATAAATTAGTATCCATTGGTGTGTACCTCACTCTGCCCATCCTCCACCCTTCCTTTTCAGAGGTTTGATGTTTGTTTAATCACAATGCATCTCTTTATACTTTCACCACATATGTATGTATCCATAAACAATACGTTTATTTTGCCTGGTTTGGAACTTGATATAAATGGGAATCATAATTTATATGCAGGAAATTCATAGGTCTTAAATGTAGTTTGATGAGTTCTGACAAATGCATGCTACTGTATGTATTTCTTTTATTTTGCTTCTTTGGCTTATTTAATATTATGTCGTGAGGTGCATCCAGTTGTCATGAACAGTTGTGCCATTTTGCTGCATGGCAATCCATTGTATGGATGTACCACAATTTACACATTCTGATGGACAACCAGGTTTTTTCCCAAGGTTTTACTATTTTTTGTGTGTATGTGTGAGGAAGATTGGTCCTGAGCTAACATCTGTTGCCAATCTTCCTCTTTTTGCTTGAGGAACATTGTCCCTGAGCTAACATCTGTGCCAAGCTTCCCCTACTTTGTATGTGGGACGCCACCACAGCATGGCTTGATGAGTGTTGTGCAGGTCCGCACCCAGGATCCGAACCCGCAAACCCTGGACTGCCGGAGCAGAGCACGCGAACTTAACCACTACGCCACCAGACCAGCCAATTTACTATTTTTTAAAATGTTTTTATGAATGTTCTAGTACATGCAACCTTCTTGTGGACAAGTGTTTCTCTGGGGTATATACTTAGAAATGAAATTGTTCAGCGATAGTATATGCAAATCTTAAACTTTATTAGACACTGCCATATCATTTTCCAAAGTGGTTGTACCAGTTTATATGGCCAACAGCAGTCTATAGGAATTCTTGTTGCTCCTATACAGCCTTAACTAACACTCGGTATTGCTAGAATTTTTAGTTTTTGCAAGCATAATAGGTGTAAAATTAAATCTCATTATTGTGATTTTAATTTGCATTTCCCTGAGTACTACTGAGGCTAAAACCTTCTCATATTTATTAGCCACTTGGGTTTCCTATTCTATAAATGTTCTCTTCATGTCCTTCACACATTTATTTCAACTGGGTTGTTTCGCATAACAACAACTATATCAAAGGGTTTAAATAGTATCAAATCTTTTGACTTGAAACCTTCTTCTAAAGAGCTGTTCTAAATTATGCTCCCAACAGGAGCAATATTTAATAAATATGATGAGTGAAAACTGACATCTTGGCTTCATTTGTATTTTCTAAATTACTAGAAAGATGGAATGGTTTTCATATATTAACCACGATATTTCCTCTATTGTGAATTGCTTATTTATGTCCTTTACTCATTTACCTATTAGTGTCACAGTGGGGTTTGAAAAAATCAATTTGTATGAGCTTTTAAAATACAAAGGATAAATATTTTGTCATATTTATCTGACTGTCCTAGTCTGCCTTTTAAATTTGTTTCTTAACATACAAAGAACTTCAAACTTAAATTATTCAAAATTATCTTGTCCTCTGTAATTTTTTTCCAAATTTTTAAACTCAGAAAGTCTTCTCCCATCTAGTGGTTATATATTTCTGGTTTTTCCCCTAATATTAACATGAAGCATGTGGGTTTTTTTAATTTAATTGTTTCACCTACCTGGATATGTGTGATACATATTGTCAAACTGATTTCACACAGCTAACAAATTATCTACCCTGCCAGTGGACATGTTAGTTTAAAAGAAAGAAAAGGAAAGCAGAAAGGCCACCAGAGAACTACCTATATTTAGACTGGAGTGAGAGAAGGACTGCTCTGATATTTATGTTACAGACTAGGTTTTCTTTGGAGGCAGAAGAATCAAGAGTCATAGGAAAGTAAAAAAGCAAAATAATTTGGTCAGAGTTCAGATTAAGAGGATTTCCTGGCCTCTGAATGAGTCCAAACAAAGTAAAAATAACTAGACTTTCAAACTAATAATGGGAAACAAATTTCATTCCCAAAAGAACAAAATGACATAAAATATATACTTTAGATCTATATTAAATAGAAACAAAATGGCGATGATGAAAGGACAAAAAAAGGAAAAAGATAACAACGATAGAAGGGAGGGGCAAACTACAAAAAATATAGTAAAGAAACAGATAAATATGAAGTATCAAGAGTCTCAGTAGTTAAACCTTTTGTTTTTCGTGCTTATAACTTAAGTTACAACTCTGTTCTTAGTGTTTGTTCTGAAAACCCAACCGTTCTTTTTCCTGAAACCATTAGAGGCTCAACTAGGAAAAGCTGTAAATGGAGAGCCTTGGGTGGTGGAGGACAGATGTTTCCCGGGGTGTAAAAAACTCTGGACTCAAAGTAACCATCTGCTAAAGCAGCCTCAAGCCAGGTCTGATTCATTTTTGAACTGCCATAATATCTAGCATATTTCACTCAATAAATATCTGTTCAATGGTATTACTTTAATATTCAAATGAATCCACATTTTCTACTCCTGCTCCAGACTATTAAAAATTAAACATAATTTCTCCAAATTGTGATAAAGAATTTTTATTTTCTCAAGCAGTGTAATAAACAAATCTGCACTGATTTCATTACCATTACTACATTGACTATTAACCTTTCTATTAAAAGGGAAAAACCCTAAGTTTTCTGCCATAATGATGATTTATAAAATACATCTAGGGAGCTAGATGTGAAAAATCAAAGAGCTTACCTTACTGACACCAACTTCAGGGATTCGGAGAGTATGCTCCATATCTTTTTCTCTGCAGAGATAAGTAAAACGTCTTTAATGATTTTTGAAGCATATATAGATGCAGTATTTACAGTGACATGGAAAGAATTTGTTTAAAAAGACAATGTTTTTTGTTTTAAATGTTACAATGCAAGTCTCTCACAATAAGCCCCATTTCCTAAATCCTGCTCTAAATTTCCTATTTGAAAGGAGGTTCCAGAATTACTTTTATTCTTTACATCTATTCCAGGCTAATAAACATCCAATGGGACAAAACAGCCTTTTTACTAATGTCAATCATTCCAGATCTGTAGACTATGTTTCCACTTTCATTATTACATGTGAAAGGAGCATATCTCCAAGAATTTAACATTAAGATATTGCATGAAATCTGAACTAAGGATAGATTATCTTTCCCACTGGGAAGAAAGGAAATTACTCTATTCATCATTAAAACCTACCTCTCTACCAAGGTGATTATGAGTTACAAAGGGGTAAAGGAAAAGAAGCAGAGAAGGAGGCCAATACTGGGTTTCAGTAAGTAAGTTAAACCAGTACAAAGGGTAAGAAAATAACAAAATCACCGTGAAAGGTATCACCAAGATTTTCTCTCTTCACATAGGCAGTCCTCTTTCGGGACCATGAAGTCATAACCTTGATTTATTTTCAAAAGCAACTGACGAGAGGTAAGTGTCAATAATACTTTTTGAGTGGGAAAGGGAGGGACATGGATGTCATATTTTGCCTATTCAACAAGTACCATGTACATTACATGATGATTGCTCAATAAATGTACAATCCATTGGAATAAGACAAACAAATACAATAATATTAAACATTTTTACCTTCCAATTGTAGCAGGGTTTACAGCTGTAATGATAAAAAGTGATCCTGTCTGCAACACTGGTGACCTAATAACAATTACTCTAATACATGGGGGCCAAATTTTTTCTTCATCTGCCAAAGAAAGAAGTGGGTAAATATTGATTCAAATGCTATGGAAAAAAATTAGAAATGTCTACGGATAAGTAGGAGGCATCCATAAAATAAAAATGTATTGATCCAGAATCTTACAACCTTCTTAAATTCTGCTATATGACATATCCAATGAGAAAGGCTTAACCATGCTATCAATTTAAAGTAATCAACCTAAAAGTATTCAGCAAATTCAGTATCTATCACAATTATAAAACAACCAACTCTCTCTTTTTTAAGGTCTTGGAATTTGAAAATATCCCAAACAAGCATTTTTATATTAAGTCAGAAAAACTGAGTCCACCTTTTAAAAAAAAAGTAAGAGAAATTCCATTAAGAACAAAATAAGCTCAATACTCTAATATGAAATCCTGAGTTTTAAAATTATGTTTTCATTCTCAAGTAAAATAATATTAGATTTACTATAATACCTATGTAGCTGAATTCATGGACTACACTTTTCAAAGGCAATTTGTTCTTTCCCCCTCAATTACAAAAGTGGACTACAAATATCTAACCCACTAAAATAGACTTAATACATACTTTAGGATTAGAATGGAGGTAACCTGGTATTTTGTTCTACTGACTAGGCCATTCATGCAATGAAACTTTAAGGTCCAAGTATTTGCCATTTATTCACAGCCTCTCTGAAAATAACCAAGTGGTAGCCCACAAAATTTTCAATGTCATTAAAATAATCAGTTTAAAACAATCAGTTTACTTTTTGGCAGATATATTATACGAGTTACTAACATTTTTAACTGTGTTGCTTTTCTACAATGACCAGACTGGGTTATTTAGGTAAAACTGAATACTCACCTTCATCCTCAGTATCTTCTGCAGTTACATTGTCTTCACTGGTCATGTCTTCATCGTAACTGTCCTCGGTCTGAGAATCTGTAATTTCACCTTCTTCTGGTTCACTATCAGTCTCTATGATTTTCTCCTCTTTAAATGAAGTCGAATTATAGATGTTTTCATTAAGAGGAGATTCTATAGTCTTTCCACTAACTGGAACAGTCAATTTGGGGGGACTATTTTTGTAACGAATGTCTATTTTGGGCTTCTTTTTCATATTTGCAAAATCTTCTCCCTCACTGCAGCTTATATATTCAACACTGGATGCTTTTTGATCCTCCAAATTCAAATCCTGGAAAGAGGTTGGTAGGGAGGTGGGAACAGGGGAGAATAATCTTAAACATGACCATCTTATGTCTAATGCTAAATGTTTCAATGAATTAGTGAAGATACATGTACAATGAAAAAACAATAACTATTACCTGTATATCCTCTTCCTCTCATGTTCTCTTTCTTGATTAATGACATTACCATCCACTTACCATCCACACCAAAAATCTTACAGTTATCTTTGACATCACCTTAACCACCACATGGAATCAATTACCAAGCACTACAGACTATGTTTACAATTTATCCCAATTCTCTCTCCTTATCTATTCTCAACGTCCTAACTATCCCAGTCCAGGCCCTCATTACATATTGTTTGGACCACACAACAGCCTAGACCAATGTCGTCCAAAAAAAATACAGAAAAAGCCATATTTACACTTCAAAATTTTCTAGCAGCCATATTAAAAGCAGATTAAATTCATTTTATTATTTTATCTTAACCCAGTATTTACAAAATATTATCATTTACTATATATAAGTATTAACATTTATTCAATATAAAAATTATTAATGAAATATTTTACATGGATTTTATGTACTTAGTCGTCAAATCCGAGTGTAGTTTATACTTACAAAACATCTTAATCAGGACCAGCTACATTTCACATGCTCAAGAGCCACATGTAGCTAGCGGCTACCTTACTGGACAGTGCAGGCCTAGAGAATACATCTACCCCAAATTTTCTTCTTGAACTTTTAACCAATTATCAAGTCAACATACATAAAATACAGAATTGGCTTTAATTATAGCAGGGATTTAAAGATTCAAATGTACCTAATGTAACAGAACAGTAGTTTTGCTGAAATTTAGTACTTTATAGAGTTGGTTTGATAATACACAACACTTTAAAGTAGAGATGAATCAGTTACATCTCTCGCACTGCAAAATCCCAACTTACCTAGCATAAGCCTTTTATTATTTATTATACATGTATACTGGGCATGCCTTATGACAAACAAATCTATTATTTTAACCTTAGGAGAAGTAGAAAGTTATCTTCCTCTTTTTCCTTTGGTTTGTAACACACTCTTAATTTTTTCTACCTTAGAACAACATGATGGAGTGAATTCATATGTTCTTCTGCTATTTTATAAAATATGAGAGCATCTTAAAACACATATTTTTAATTACAGCATAAATTCAGTTTGGAGACTGCCTAAACATTCATGGTATGATAAACTATATGCACTTCAAGCAATACAAACTCACTGAGGACAAGAACAAGGGCAAGGAGCTGAAACCCATGAGGAGCTTTATATTTTTTTCAAGGTTTTTTTTTTTTTTTTGTGAGGAAGATCAGCCCTGAGCTAACATCCATGCTAATACTCCTCTTTTTTTTGCTAAGGAAGACCGGCTGTGAGCTAACATCTATTGCCAACGCTCCTCCTTTTTTCCTTCCCCAAAGCCCCAGTAGGTAGTTGTATGTCATAGTTGCACATCCTTTTAGTTGCTGTATGTGGGACGCGGCCTCAGCATGGCCGGACAAGCGGTGCATCGGTGCGCGCCCGGGATCCGAACCCGGGCCGCCAGCAGCAGAGCACGAGCACTTAACCGCTAAGCCACCGGGCCGGCCCCCATGAGGAGCTTTAAAGGGCACTGTGAATTATAGCAAAAATTTCCATATCTATATAGACTTAAAAAAAAAAAGCAGTTTCCAATCTTGTATATTTTATTATTATAATACTGCTTATAGGACAACATATGCAGGGGAAAAATGAGTGAAACTGCCAGAGGTACTACTTTTTAAAAACTATTTGCCAGTCTAGAACGTTAAATATTCATTAAGAGATAAGAAACGGGGCCTACATGTGGGCACTGAGGCATATATGTACATTTCAAGTTATTTACTCCCATCTCCTCACCCGACTCCTTCCGTCCACAAAACCTCCACTTCCAAAGAGTGAGGCTCAAGAGTATTTTAAATAATAAAGAAAAAGATGATGTCTTAACTGGTCTCCCACGCTTCATAGCTACCTTTTAGAATCCTCAGGAAATTCTCAAAATTCCATCAGGGCTCTTCTTAAGACCCTGTCCTGGAGTTCACATATTTTCGAACAAGGATGGTAAAGAGGAACGGTTATGGGAACTAAGCCGGACCAAAATCTCACAGAATGCTTTACAGCTTCATTCTCTAGTTTGTCAGGAAAAGTCATTTGAGGATCCCGTATGTTCTTTTCTTAGTGCTAGGGAGAAGTACTTTCACAACCTACCCTCTCAAACAGTTCAACCACTAGTAACAGGTAGGAGTCATCAGAACAGAGGTCTTAAAAGCAAACAGAAAGATCATTTTTAGTATTTTAGTCATATACTCTTCCATTCCTAGGTATTATCAGTGAAAATAATAGAGAAGTAGAAACAAATAAAATAGAGAATAGAAAATAAATCCAACAGAATCCCAATTCTATATTTGAACTTTAGTATTATACATTTAAAAAATTTTTCTTTGGTTAAGAAGGGAAAAACAGGAGATAAAATTTCAAGAGTAAAGTATCTAATAGTTGCCACAATTCACAAAACGCCAAGAAAACAAATAAGCCTCCTCTCCTGCCTATACACCATCAACCTTATCTGATTAGGAAGCAGAAATAAGAGCACTGATAAGATTTGAAATATCCTGCTTCTTTAAATTTAACATTGTATCATAAGCATTTTTAAAATTCCCGTCTCTATAAACTACCATTTTAAGGTCTAAATAATGCTTTTCAATTAAATGTACTATCATTTTCTTACCCAATATCTTGTGGGCCATTTAAACTCTTTAATTTTTTTCTGTTCTCATAAATACTGTTGTATAATTATACAAAGGCACTTTTCTTTATGATTTTTTAAAAACATAAATTACTAAAAACGAGATTTTCCAATTAAAGAATATGAACATTTTCATGGTTATTGATACAAAGAGTCACCTATTTTCCAAAAAGATACCAATTTACACTCCTAATGAATATGTACCTAATCTATATTTGCTAGCAATGGATTTTTTTAATGTTTGCTAATATAGTAAGAAATTGCTCAATATGACTAAGAAAGTTGAACTTTATCTACATCTACTTACAAACCGTGGTTTTCTTTTCCTGTGAATTGTGCACTGACATCAACTTATCAACTGAGGACCTGAACGTTCTTCTCCCAAATTACGTAACATGAGTATTTCATCTGCCCTAAATCTACCTTCTTCAAACTTTAAGAAATTCTATTTCTAGTGACAGAATTTGTGAAAAAGTCCATGTCTGCCCCTTGAATGTTTCTTGTTTGACAGATTCTGATATCTTGTTATCTTAAGGGATAAGTTTGAAATACAGAGTTACTGAATGATTTTCAGTTTCATCAAAAATTTTGGCTTAATTATGATATCAGCATTACATAAACTTAAAAAATGATGAAGACATTACCTTTTCCTCATTTGTTGCAGAAGAATCTAGATCCTTTCTTTTCTTCTTCAATTTCTTATCTTTATTTTGTTTTGTGCCAGCAGTCTGATAAGGTTGCAAATCTACTCGAGAATGAAATTGATATCGACCACTTTCCACATCACAGTAGTAATAAATTCCAGTGGAAGGATCATAATATAGTTGATTTTCCTTTCAAAGTCAAGAAAACAGTAAGTTTTATTCACGTAAGATGAAATAAAATACAAAAATAAAAGAAATACCAAATATATTCAAATATAGTAAATGTTTTTCTTGTTAAGAACTATAGCATTTTCTGAAGGTAATGAATAACGATAACAGAATGAAAAATGCTTGTAATTTTCTAAAATACTTTACCGTTCAATATCTGCTCTAATTTTCCTAGTGGGAACAATGAATACATTTAAATATTAAATTGAATCTCATGAAACTGCCAATATATGACCATTTTTTTACCTATAGAAACAGTAATTTCATATGGCTCAATTTAATACATTACCGAAAAATAACAAGAAATCTTTCAGAAGTCATGAAAACTAAGGCATGCCTCAGAAAAAGCTGACCATACAAAAGCAACTCCAGACTCATTATTTTTACGACTACATATAACGGTTTGGCAGTATAAACTACCAAACACTCCTCTTAATGTCATAAAACAAAGATTTGCCTTTTAATGTTCATGACTAAAAGCCCTGAAGAAAAATTTGAAAATAAAATTAAGCTCATAAATACTACAAGCTAACATTCTATATAAAGAAACTGATAAACAATTGTCTTCACTAATTAATTCTATAGTAACTAAATAAGACTTATGTGTACAGTAGCCATGCATAAATAATTTTGGCAAATTGTGGATAAAAAGTAGAAAGATAAAATTATGTAATCATCTGCATTTATTAGATACTGACCAGTACTCTATAACCAACATTTAACTAAACAGCCTATATTTTATTAACATCATAAATCCATGCAGATCAGACCTGGAAATATCTTATGTGTACTGAGATTAAGCAAATAAAACTTCCTGAAAAAGAATAACTGATTTTTATAACTGTTGATACTATTGCAATTTATTGTCTTTAATCCATTTTGCAGATCTCTTACAAAAATATTTAGAATTCTCACTATCTTTCCCTCAACTAAAAAACCGAATGGAAGCTTTTTAATCTTTATTTCTAGCGATAGTAGAATTTTTATAACTCAAACCTTTTTCAATCTATTATGCCTTTCAGTCCAAAATATAGATATTTTTGAAAATATTTTAAAATTTTTATTTAATTAAAATAAAACGAAAACTAGCACCAAAAAAATGCCAAATCAATGAGGTCTCTAATTTACTGAGACATATAACCTGCAGAATGTAACTAACCATTTACAGAAGAGATGTCAGGAAGAAAGATACAGACAGGAAGGTAGAAGAATGATGAAGACTAATGTTACATACTTGAAAACTGTGTATTTTCCTAGAAACCAAATAAGTAATAGCTACTCTCTTTGGTAATAAGAGTTTAAACATTAATTTTCCACGTATTAATTAGTATTGTCAATTAGCATAGTACTGTGAAAGAAAACTTTCTCTTTACAAAGGAATTATGAAGTATACCAAGTACAAACTGACAAGCTAATGAAATCCCTTATCTAACTAAGATACTTAGTATTATCATTTTGTTCCCCAGATTAGTTAACAACAGTTCCAGTGACTGGAATGGTGAACATCTGTTCCACTTGTGGGCACTACATTCTGTAATTCCTAAGGACCAGATCACACACCCAGACCACTTGAGGCACGTGGGTATGTGAGTTCCACCATCATCATCATCAAATCCTGAACAAAATCTAACTAAGTACTAGATGTCAACAGCCATAACATTGTATTACAAATCAAGAACTTTATTTGGTTCTGTCCTAGGCAGAGGTCCATTACATTTCTGATTCCACACTAATTCTCTAGTTCTCACTGTTAACAGATTGATTTTTAAAAAGGGAAATGCTTAAAAGCCACAGAATATAAAACAATGACTAATAATAAACATGTTATTGAGAATTCAAGAAAAAAACTCCCTCTGTGGACTGAAATGGATTCATAAAGATAAAAGTATTTGAAACAAAAAAAACCTCACCCAAGCCTAGAATTAACAGTCACTTCCTCATAAATCCTATGAAAAAGTGTTAGTTTAGGTTCTTAAACATTTTACAACAATGTAGTTAACTGTCTGCTTTTATTAATAAATGTTCTAACATTTTTCGATGTTAGTTTACATATAAATGGTTATTAGACTCTCTACAATAATCTATAACAATCATAATCAACTTATTTAATTAAAAACCTAGGGCCAGCCCCGTGGCTTGGTGGTTAAGTGCGCACGCTCCACTGCTGGCGGCCCGGGTTCGGATCCCGGGCTCGCACCGACGCACCGCTTGTCCGGCCATGCTGAGGCCGCATCCCACATATAGCAACTAGAAGGATGTGCAGCTATGACATACAACTATCTACTGGGGCTTTGGGGGGAAAAAAATAAGTAAATAAAATAAAATAAAATAAAATAAAATAAAATAAAATAAAAGCTAGAAGTGTAGCATCATAAGCTATTTTATAATTCTTTATTCTTGTCAAATAGCTTTGAATCAAACTATTTCTAAGCACAGCTTCCTGTTTTTCTTAGGGTTTAATATTTGGTATCAAGCAGCTAAGTGTACAACCACAGAGTATTAAAAGCTCTGAGATACTTACAGAATCATAATAGAAACCAGTGCTGCGGTCAAAATACAGACCAGTATTCTCATCATAACTGAATCCAGTCTGCGACACAGCAGCTTCTGCCGCAGCTCTCAAACTTTCAGCTAATGAGGAACCTTCTAAGGACGTATCTTCAGCTGCTAACGCAGATGCTGGCTCCTAGGTAAGATACATTCATGTCAGGTTAGACAAAAAGTTCCTTGTATCTATTTAAAAGTTAGCAGAATTTAAAATGATAGACTTAAAAGCTATTTTAATTACTAAGACTTCAATTTCTGCAATGGAAATGGATGGCTATCAATTACAATTCAATCCACTTTTAAAAATATTTACTAGTATATCAGTTAATTCAATTTTGACCCAGTTTGGAAGACACTAAAAGTGAGTGACCATCTCTCAAAAATAAATGCCTGATACCACATGAAAGCAAGCTGCAAAAAACAGACTCTGAAATATTCTTTAAGACAAATGATCTAGATTCTTTAATAATTATAGCTTGAAAGGGAAAAAAATTTAAGAGAGATAGAGGAGAAAGCTATAGATTACATGCAATATATCACACATCAAGGGGTTGTACTGTATGAACCTTACTGCCATCCTGATCCAAACAAACTGTAGAAACAAATTTATAAAACATTCAGGGAAATCTGAACAGTGGCAGGACATTTTACAGAAAGGAAGCATTAAAAAAATTTTAGTGTGAACACGCTGGGGATGGCTCCATGGAACAGCGGTTAAGTTCCCCATGCTCCGCTTCGGCGGCCCAGGTTTGTGGGTTCAGATCCCAGGCATGGACCTACACCACTCATCAGCCATGTTGTGGCAGCATCCCACATGCAAAACAGAGGAAGATTGGCACAGATGTTAGCTCAGGGTGAATCTTCCTCAAGTAAAAAAAAGGAGGAAGACTGGCAACAGGCGTTAGCTTAGAGCAAATGTTCCTCAGTGACAACAACAGAAAAACAAAAGAAACAAAAAATTTTGGTGTGAACATGGTATTGCGGTTGTTGCCCCAAAATTTTTTGGTTGAGTCAAAATATGTCAACAAATTTTGTTTTAGTTTACGTACTATACATCATAAATTTTTGGAACACAGCAGAGTAGGAAAACAATTAGATATATGAACGAGTTCTAATTTTTGTTTCTCAAAAACTGTACTTCACTGCATAATTATACACAGACTGTTTACAACTCCTGTGTATGTTTTGATGGACCAAAGAAGTCTATTTTTCTATAAAATAACAAAGAAGAAGTTCTTGGGCGTCAACAGTTTCATGTTAAGCATTTTATTACCTGTGAACGTGCAGCAAAATGGTCCTCTTGTCCACACTTAACATTTTCCGTTACATCAGTACCAGCATAAGCATCATTTTCTATTTGTGACTGGTCTTTAGAATTAAAAGTAGAAGCTTCAATATCCTGATCTTGCTGAACTGAGAGTTCAGTCACTTTATTTGGAAGACTAACATCCTTATAGTATGTTTGATAATAATAATCTGTAGCAAAAACAAATTAAGTGATATCATATTAGAATAGTGTATGTAAAAAGGACTTAATTCCAAAACATCGGCACTGAACACAAAACAGCACACACTGCAAACAAATCATATTTTTACAATTGTACACATTTTAACAGATTAACATTTATTGTGCAGATAAATCTGCAGAAGTATATATCTTTGATTCTAAAGTCACCTTCAGTAGCTGTCAAGCTAAAAAGAAAAAAAAAGGTAAGCAGATTTGGATTTTCCATAGCAAGAGGAAAAAAGAAAACAGGTAGATAGGTTGTGTTCTGTCAAAAATATCAGTAACTTTTAACAACTTCCAACCACGTACCTTAATATTGTTGCGTATCAAATGACAATGGCATAAAGACAACATGTCAGGGGTTGATTTTTCTGTCAAATTTCTCTCATGACGGTGACTTTTTAAAAAATATAATATACAGATATGTAATGTTAATACTACTGCTGTGCTTAGCAATTTAGCTAAACTATGTACTGAATAAAATAAGGCAAAACTTAATGGGAAAGATGATTTCTTGTGACCCCAATTTACTAAAACTCACTCGCTGAGTTATTTTGCCTCACAAAATGATGCCACTGATGCGGCCACAGTGGTGGACTCACCATTCCCACAAGGCCCTAAGAGACTGGCACTGAACACAACGCCAAGTGGAATGCATCAACAAGGAAACACATGCCCCTGGTCACCAGGAAGGCCAGACATGAGAGTAGATGGCTCTCAGCATGGCAAAAATTACTCAGTGAATGTGCCACTGAAAACACATTAGCAGTATTACGCATTTATAAGAAGGACAATACATTTCTACTTTCCCTCCAGAAGAGCAAACAGATTATCTGAAAATACCAAATTATATGGAGAGAAGTCAACATTATAACAGTTCTCATATTTATCTAGATGTTTATCTACTTTACATTTAAACACAACTCCACATTAGCATGATCTGAATGTAACAGTACTAGGACATCTTCACTACAAAGCTAATACCTGAGATTGACCAAGGAGGGTGGTTCTCTGTTTGTACTTCTACATCAGACTTGTTATTATCTTTGTTTCTCCCACAATGGAGTATTTTACTGAGCTCTTCTACCTGAAAGAAAACAACAAGGCTTTAGGAAAAATAAATCATATAGCCATCTAATATACACGTCATTCTCTTGAAATTACAATAATTACCTTCCTTGGTAAAAGTTTTAGAGAAGTACCAAGAGCAGCTAGTTTCCTTTTCAGAAAAACTGAAGATACTATAATTGACTTGCTTTCATCTTTTATGTGTGCAAAGGGGAATGTTTTTATTCTTATACACTCTTGCTTAACTTCAAAATATCCCCTCCAAAAATCAGACTGACTAAATTAATAGGACTCTGTGAACAAGATCCTTTATTTCTAACAAACAAGAATATTTTTATACTAATATTTTAATTTGTCAGTCCTCCCTAAAGAATTAGGAAAAAAATATTAACTCCCACTTGTTGAATTAAATTATCTAATAGCATTCAGTGTCCTCCACCTGAAATAACTGTTCACTTAAATATATTAATGCCACTCATAAACTTGAATATACTTTTTTTCTTCACTTGGTAGTCTTATGTGTAAATAACTGCAGAAGGGAATGGAGATGACTCCCTCAGAGGGACGTCTGTCCTCCCTGAGCCTCACTGAATGCCAAGGCCAGAGCTACAGAGTGCAAAAACACCCACAAGCAGACGAGGAGCAGCCTCATCCATTCACCTCAGTCGGACAGGATCTCAATATGAGACAACGTCTATCATAAGCATGCAACTGACTAAAAAACAGGCTTCTAAATATTTATTTAATGATATAGAGAGCTTAAAAAGAGAAAGGTGATAAAACTGATTATATACAGATTATCTAGGCACTTCATAAATTATCAGATCTGCTACTACCAAGGCGGGAACTAAGGGGAAGCAAACAAGGCACCTAGGGCATAAAATTTAAGGAGGCACTCACTTTCAGCTTCATGCAAGTACAGAGTTGGCACCTGAGAATGAGTGCCCCCTTAAATTTTGCACCCTAGGCTACTGATTGCCTTGCCCTAGTCCTGGATCTGGCTACTACCACCATTACTAAGAACTAGATCATTTATTTGGTATCTGCTACACGCTAGGCACTATACTTGGTACTCTGGATGACATCTCATTAATTGTTACAACCACCTTACAAATCAGTTGTCCTAATCTCCATTATACACTTGAGAAATCTAAAGAGACAAAGTATTCTGCACAAGGCTTTTTTGACTCCAAAGCCTGTAGATATTATGTTTTTCTACTAGTTCCCCTCAGTTCTCAAGCCAACTTTTTACTGCTCCAGATAAAACACAATTGACTAATTTAGGATGACAGCTGACCACCAAACTCCACCCACCACCAGGGGAGGCTGACTAGGAAGAGAGTAAGGAGGAGTTATTACTATCACCAATAGAGTCGAGACTTTCTATACATTCCAATTTTTCCTGTTATACCACCATCCAATTAACACTAATAACCAAAATGCTGGCTCTTCAAGGATTAGCAAAAATATTTTCTTTTAGGATCTCTATAGCAAGCAGTACTTTAACAATTCAGAATTATAAAAGGGTTTTTTAAAAGGCTGTCATATTTTGCTCCCCTTCCCCCCCACGATATTTTAACCATATCTGCAGTCTCCTAGCACAGTCCTTATGCATTGTAGGCATAAGGACTCAAAAACTAGCTGTTGAGTCAACAAACACAAACTTTCTACAATGTCATAATATTAACAACTTTATACATGTGCACACCAAGTCATTGCAACTCGGCAGTTATTTTCACAGACCATTTGATAACCAAGTACTAAGTCTGATGACGTTTTAGTGTTCAGCCCACATATGTGGTTTTAGGAAATGTACCAATATATTACAGAGGACTAGACAACAGTTTAATTGAAATTAATAATTATGTGGAAATAACTCGTTGGGACAGACTGCAACTGCCCAACAAATCGACCTGGAAAACATATTATGCTCCTGTTTAAAAGTTAAAAAAAAAAATTTTGACAGTTAAAATATTTGTCTTCACTGTATTTTATGAAGAGGAACTTAGCCGCTTAGTGTCTCTAACAAAAAAAGTTTTATCTTCCCTACTTCCACCAGAAAACTCAAGACGACAGACGCCCAGAATAACCTTACACATACATAAAACAGTCTGTTCACGCTTAATTTGATGTCACCTTCCCTGTGTGGTACCAGCATTCTCATTTTATGGGCAACTGAGGCTCGGTATGAGGCCACACATCTAGTGAGTGACAAATGGGATTCTGACCCAAGTCCAGCGCTTTACCACACTCAGAGGGAACCCACAATAAAATATTAGAAACGTGCCTACTGCCAACGGGACGGTACAGGCGAGCATGAGGACCACCTAACTCAGGCCGGCCGCGACCGCGGCTCACGCACTCATCAGGAGCGAGCGACCCGAGCTCAGGTTCGCTCCAGCGCACTTGGAACTAGAACGGCCCTGAACTTTTCCTTCTCTCACGTGTCTAAGCAGCTCTGGCCCCGCCGGGGAGCCCCTCGAGGGGCTCGCCGGGGCTGGAGCGACGCGGGCCCGGGGGCGCGCACCTGGGTGCGGAGCTCCTGGTTGTTGCTCTCGGCGCTCTGGTACAGACGCTCCGTGTGATGCAGCAGCTTCTCGATCTCCCGCACCTGCCGCTTGCAGCTCCGCAGCTCGCGTTCCAACTTCTCCACCTTCCGCCTCAGCTGGGCCAGCTCAGGCTCGGGCGACGC